TCTTTCAATGTTATCTTTTTATCTGCTTATGATCCTTTATTATTCCATCTCAAGCAAATATGACCAAACTAAACCTCACTCAGCGACTGACAGAGGAGATATGACAGACTGGGGAAGAGGAGAGAGGGAAGAGACACTGACGTGTGGTCCAGAGTTTTCATAAATTTTACATCCCTACAACCTCTTCAAAATAGCATTCTTTTATAGATTTCCTGAGCCAATTATATTATTTCAGCTTTATGAATTACTTTTATATTATTGCTAGTCCCACCAATGAAAATGCTATCCATACTTCAGAGTTATCTCAGCTATCCTTCACAAAACCTTTTCTAATTTTCCTAAATATCTTTCTTTTTAAAATATTTATAGCAAAAGTTCAATGACATTTATACTGAACATTGTATTGTCATTACTTGTGTACTTTTTTGGTATTTTATCCCCTCTACTAGATTTTAAGTTTCCCAAATTATGTGTAATATAGTATTTAACAGCCAACAGATTCATATTGCATTATGTAGACTCCAATCATTAATACATAGTTGGATTTTTAAACCAAGGTTATGTTTGCTATACAGTTTTGTACCTTGTTTTTGCTTTGCTAAGATTTCAATACATGCTTTCAAATAATTTTCTTCTGTGAAATAAATTAACGGAAATAATGCCTTGCCACAGAATGTGGAACATGTGCTAACAAAACAAGAATGTGGGGAAAATGATATCAGAGAAGGGAGTCTACCTTGCTTCTTATGAACTTATGTACTTATGAACAGTACCTCATTAGACTAGAAGAAAATGAGGGATGTTTAGATGCCATGTGGTATCATACAGGATTTACATTGTTATAGCAGGTGACAGTACCCCAAAAGAGAAAATGGTAATTGAAATTGATAAAAATTAATTGAGATACTGGTCAAAACCAATACACGTGGAATCAAAACAAAATCTCAAAATGTAATTAAGAAGATATTTGAATAGGCTTGGCACCCATAGTACAGTGGTTGCGGCGCCGGCCACATATACCCAGACTGGCTGGTTCAAACCCACACTGGGCCTGCTACACAACAATGACAACTGTAAGAAAAATAGCTGGGCATTGTGATGGGTGCCATTGTCCCAGCTACTTGAGAGACTGAGGCAAGTGAATCACTTAAGCCCAAGAGTTTGAGGTTGCTGTGAGCTGTGATGCCACAGCACTCTACTGAAGGGAACATAGTGAGACTCTGTCTCAAAAAAAAGAAAAAGAAAAAAGATATTTGAATAATACAGAGAGAATAAAGTATGTTAAATACAGTACTGATAATCACCTATAGAATCTGAAATGTGAAAAAAGGAAGGCAAGAAAATCAAGTATACAGCAAAACATTAAAAGTACTAGAATTCTTAGCCTTAGAGCAGTTATTTCCACCTAGTGTGCCGTGAGAGGATCTGATGTGTGCCACGAGAATTTTTAGGGGCGGCGCCTGTGGCTCAAGGAGTAGGGCGATAGCCCTATATACCAGAGGTTGTGGGTTCAAACCTGGCCCCCATCCAAAACTGCAAAAAAAAAAAGAAAGAAAAATTTTAAAGATCATAACAAATTATTTTCAAAGGAAGTTTAAAGCACAGTAAATATCTTCTTTTTTTGATCAACATAATTTAGTGTGCTGTGGAAGTTTTACTATCGGTTTGAATGTCATGAGATAAAAAAGGCTGAAAAATACTGCCTTGACGGGTCAAATTCTAGAAGCTATAATAAAGGTTTATTAGAGAGTAACGACATCAGCATCACCTGCCAAACTATAAGAAATACATATGCTCAAGCCCCACTTCACATCTAAGGGATTAGTTAGGCTTTAGGGTAAGACCCAGCAAGCTGTGCTTTAACAAGCCTTCCAGGTGATTCTGATGCACACTAGGGTCGAGAACCAATGACCTGGAATAATGATATTCAACACGATTAAGATACTGTGGCAATACAGCATAAGACATTCTTACTCTTTTCTCATTTACAGTACCATGAAGCCCATCTTCTCATGCCCAACCTTAACCCCCAATAAGTACCGAAGTCATCCCTAATTCCACCCACCCCCGTTCTACCTCTATGGAAACAGAATTAAGAACAGAAACTTTTCTTTTCTTGACATTATTCTAGAGCAGTGGTTCTCAACCTTCCTAATGCCGCAACCCTTTAATACAGTTCTTCATGTTGAGGTGACCCCCAACCATAAAATTACTTTCGTTGCTACTTCATAACTGTAATTTTGCTACTGTTATGAATCGTAATATAAATATCTGATATGCAGGATGTATCTTCATTGTTACAAAAGGGTTGCAACCCATAGGCTGAGAACCACTATTCTAGAGGAAAATTGGGACTGAGTATACAATTAAATACCTTAAACAATGGTCAAACCTCACGTGTGTGGATGGACTGAGGGATGTCAGAAGAGTGACAATTCAGAAACACTAGGGAACCCTGAGGAGGTTTTAGGCTTAGTCTTGTCACTAACCATCCTTTTAACTTTCCCACTGGCCATTTCCCAATTTGGAGGGATGAAGGGAACCAGGAATACCTCTTAGTTTGATATTCAAATGAAATTCCCAGGCAACGCCTGTGGCTCAAGGAGTAGGGCGCCAACCCCCAAGTACCAGAGGTGATGGGTTCAAACCCGCCCTTGGCCAAAAACAAAAACAAAAAAACCTGCAAATGAAATTCCCAGGTCTGTAAATTTGTAAACTGGAGGGTCCCTACTGAGGAGCCTTCTGGGAAACAACTATGTATGTAGCTTTCCTCTGGTTGGACCTGGGACACTCGCCTCATTCAGGTACCAAGGAACCCCACATGCATGGCAGCTAAGATATACTTATTTAGGGTACTTTTGTTTGTTTCAATTAGCATCACGCCACCCTTTTTGTCACTAGGAAAGACCCTTAGAGCATGCTGTAAACAATGTGCCGAGTACCAGGCGGTCATTAACTAAGCTGTTGGTGAAGTAAGTATCTACTTCTGCAAAAACTGCCCCGAGTAAAAAAACTGCCCTGAGTAACTCATAAACATGTCCAGATTAAATGATAAGAAGATAATCTTTAAATAATCCAAGAAACCACTTGAGAAGAACATTATCAATTCTTTTAAACCCTTCATACATACTTTATTTCTTGATATGTCCTCACTTTGGTTGTTTTCGAGTTTCACTGTAAGTTCTTCACATTCATATTAAATTCTAAGGGAAAGATTATCAATACTTAAACATTGTATTTGATATACCAAATCACACTCCTAAAGGCAATCAATTATCTTCCTACTGACCTATCAGAAGTAGATAGGAGATGGAAAAAAAAAAAACACCCTGTCTTCTAAGTAATAATGGAAACTAAGTCATTCTCACAATCAGCAACACCTACCAGCATACACAGGTACCTCCAACCATTAATTAACCACTGATTCTCTGTATTCAATCTGTAAACAATGTGCCAAGTATCAGGTGGTCATTAACTAAGCTGTTCTCACTTTTCGCATAAAAAGAAATGGATTTAAATGAGGGAAAGGGTATTAAGTTACACAGTACTATATTAACTTTAATGGCATTAGAATGGACTAAGCAAAGGAAGTTACAGCATCTTTCTCCTTTGTGGAAAAGAAACCAAATATTCACCAAGCAAGTACTGAGCCAGGGTAATACTAAAATTGGGCACAGGCCTTTTACAGACATTGTTTAATTCTTACACATGTACCTTTGCCATCCTGCAAATGAAGATGCTGAGAATCAAAAAGGTTAACACATTTTTCCTAAGTTCACGCAAGTACTAACGGCACGCCCAAGCAGCAAACCAAATTGTTCTGACCACTAAATCCATTTTCCCCCTACACCTCTGGCTACCTCTTAAGTGATGCTGGTCCACAACATAAAAGATAAGGTTGATAATAGTTTCTTATTCTTTGCTTCTCTTTACTATGACTGAATCAACTATGGGCACTGGAACTATTTTACACGAGTTCACTTTCTAAATTTACACTGATCTCTCCAATCTCCAAATTCTTCATTTGGGTGCCTTATTTTGGCCCAATCACACCCTATCTTAAAAAGGTATGCTAAATGCATTCACATCCTGTATCACAAAACAAAAGAAACACTCCCCCCATAACAAAAAAAAGCTGTAGGATTTCAAAAGGTAGAAATGGTTTCTACACTTCTGTATACTTCAACACAAGCACCAACTGCGGATTTGATGGGCCATTTATTTCTGCATTCCCAGAGCTTAACAGTATGTTACTGAGACAGGTGATGACTACACATTTTGTTCAAGTAAGTAGAAAGTGTGGCTGTAAAACAGAACTGTTCTGCCCAAGTTTATGGATTCAGTCTCATTTATTTTTTAATTATAGCTCCTTACAAATATGTACCTGTTTGATTTTAACAATTATCTTATAAAGTGACAGAAAGAAAAACCTAAAAGGAGCAAAGTGGTGTTTGGTATCTAACAGAACCGGATTTGGTGCACTCGTATTTAACTAAGAAATGTTAGTGTGCTATAAGTTTACAAAGTATTCCACGTTTCCTACGTGCAATGTTTATGGCTTTAACTCACCTCTTTAAAACAGAAAAGATACTTGATAAAAAAAAAAAAAAGTATCTCTTTTTTGTATTGAGATAATCAAGTCAGGAACAAACTGGCACTAATGACAGTACTTTTTAAGGGACTGCCTACCTACAGCCACATCAAAGAGACATAAACAGTCTACCCCCAACCAACCCCGCGAAGTGCCATTCTAAATGAACAGAGGCTTTTTACATCCCACTTGGGCCGGCGCAGAAACAAGCCACAGACGCTGAAGACTCCGGCACCTGACTCCAGGACCACCACCCCGCCGCGCGCCCACCTGGGCAGACTGGCGGGCCCAGGGTCACAAGTCTCCTCAAGACCGGGTCCAGGAAAAGCTTCGCGGGGCCCAGAGGCGCCCCCCATTTGCGTCCGCCTGCGCTGACTGCCGCGCCCCCTCCCTGGGCTGCGACCCGCACCTGCAAGTCCCGCGCGCTCGGGGGCCGCGGCACCGAGGACCTCCGCTCCTGCTCGCCAGACTCGCCGCCACCCTCCGCCATCTTCCGCCGACTCGCGGCACCTGCCGTAGACACCTTTCCGCAACTTCCGGGTCGGTTGCCTGGAAACCGGGGGGCGGGGCTCGGCGAGGCGCCTGCGCGCCTGGGCTCCCGGAACTTTCCGCCGGGTTACGGTGCCGTCCCACCTGTCGGGTTTCTTTTATTTCTTTGCAGGAAGGTATCCCAGAGAGTCTTCCTCCCTGGGAATGTATGTGTAAGTTGCATTTTCCTTCTTCCACACGTTTGAAGGCGCTATCGGTCGCTCTAAGGGGGCAGCATGGACTTGGAGGGTCATTGGACATGGTAATGTAAAGGTCCTCTGGGATGTTTTATGTGATGAAAATGGCCACTTCCCCGTCTAGTCTAGGTTAGATTCTCTCTTCTTTCCTGTCTGGGACTGGGTGGTAGGTACATCGCCCCCACAGGATGAGTCGGTACTGAGGGTGAAGGCCGCCTTCAACGCTGTGTGCAAGCAGAGCCCGAGACAGTCAAGCGCTCTGCTTTCCCTGCAATAATTAAAACTCCTGTCTTATCCCAGGCACTTTTATGCCCCAGAAATGCAAAGGTCAAGAGAAATAGACCTGGTCATTATGGAACTCGCAATCTAGCAGGGAAAAGAGAGCAGCGAATGGATAATATAATGCAGTTTGCAGTAGAGCTTCGCAGAGGAGGACTGTGGGGCGAGAGGGAATATTATGTCGGTGCCTGCTGTGTGCATCATGCTAGGTGCTGGATTTCAGAGCTTGCCACTCCAAGGTTTGGCATCATAATTATTTTGGGCTAAAGGCCCTTGAAAAACAGGTGCAAGAAGAGCCCTTTGACCTATTTTTTCCCCCGTTAATGGAAAAAACTTTAAAATTCTGTAAAATAATTTGAAGAGATTTATTCTGAGCTAAATATATGCAACCCCAGCCCAGAACACATCGTTTCAAGAAGTCATGAGAAAATATACCCTAGGCAGCCAGTTTACAATCTGGTTTCATATATTTATGGAGAGAAGCATTATAGGTAAAATCATAATACATGGAAGATAGACGTTGGCTCACGTTGAAAAGGCGGGACATCTTGAAATGGAATGGATGGTTTTTACGGATTTTTTTAAGTTGGCATTTGGTTGAAAGAGTTGAGCTTTGTCTGAAGACCTGGAGTCTGTAGAAAGGCATGCTTGAGTTAAGACGGGGGTGGGGGTGGGGTGGGGGGGTGGGTGTCTGCTAGAATGCTTGAGTTAAGAGACGGGATCTTCCATTTGTCAGTGATGCTATGCAAGATGCAGGTTGGACAGCTAGCCACGTTATACTCCGTTAATAAAAACCTGGATAATGAGATCCTTATCGTTTGTAATCATAACTCACTCACCAGGCAAATTTTTAGGAATTTGGGCAAGAGGAAAAAAAAAAAGGTCAGAGTTCAGTCCTTATTCCTAAAAGCAGGAAATGAAACTTGCATGTGAAAGATGCTCTCCCTGTGCCAGGAGGAAAGATAACTTTTATTACAAGAAATGGAGACATAAAATGGAGAAATCTGTACAATTGTTGTTAAACTAATCCATATTTTCCCAGTTGTTTTTCCATGAATGCCTCTCTGTTCAACTACTGTCTAAGCACCTAGGCCTGGTCACTTCTTTGGATTTTCATTTTCCCATGAGGATGCCCATGTATGTGTAACATTTTGTTAAATAAAATTTGTATGCTTTTTCTCCTGTTCATTTCTTTTATGTCACTTTAATTCTTGGGCCCAGTTTGAGACAGTATAGGAGAAAATTTTCTTCATTTGCAATGCATTCCATGTGTAATTCCATACATCTCTCGGTCAGGTAAGTGTTGTTATGTAGGTACATGAGTCACTACAAAAGTTTGAGTTGCTGTGTTATGGTCCACTATTTCACTTCTAGGGAAACACAGTCTACAGCGTCCTTTCTGATCCACTTGTACAAGTTTCACCTTGCTCATCAGTGTTGCTGAGATGGTTTCACTTGTTTCCATGTGTGCAGATTTTATGGTTTTCAATTTTTGTGTATCTCAAACTTTTGTAAGGACCCATATATTTTATGTTATACCTAAGGAAACCAGATGACAAAGACTAAATTCATCCTGTAGTAAATGGCAGTACCAAATGGTATAGTACTGTATTAGTACAGTACTAAATCTTGTATTTCTTGTCCCATTACTCTTAATAAAGCATTCTGCCTTCAAAATCCCTGGCTTTTATTTTTTTATTTTTTTTGGCAGGGCTGGATTTGAACCGACCACCTCCAGTATATAGAGCTAGCGCCCTACTCCTTGAGCCACAGGCACTGCCTTCCCTGGCTTTTCTTTAACAAGAAAGCCCCATAGAGCCAAGAACATTTGAGCTGAGTCTGGAAGAAGAAGTACTTCCTGTTGAAGTACTGGACCAGAAAGGACCACAGGTAAAGGCAAAAATAAACACTTAGGCACAGAAATACCAAGTTCTCATCAGCATAGTACTACATGGTTGCAACTTAGAAGAGACAAAGGAGGGTAATGGGGCGGTAAGGGGAAACAGATCTAAACTGGAGGTGTAGGTTTAAGACAGATTCTGAAGGATCTTACCTTAGGTTAGAGGTTGGACATTACCCTCTGGGCCAGTGATTCTCAAACATTGCTGCATATTATTAGAATCACTTCTTCCCTCCCTGCTCTAGGAACTCAGATTTAATTGATATGGGGTGGAAATCAGGCATCATATATTTTAAGATGCTCCCCAAGTGGAATTTGTTATTGGTCACAACAGTGTACCTATTACTGGACTTGCCCTCCTCTCATAACAAACAAAAATGCAATTGTTGGGTCCGAGAAATCCTCCCAACTTAGCCCAAACGGACAGACTTGAGACACACTCCGATGTAAAGGGCATAAGTTGAGATTTTATTACAGACCGGTCTGGACCCGCCCAGCATGCAAGCCTGGGACGAGCCCCGAACTCGGGGTGAAGGCAGTTTTTATGGGGTACAGAAAGCAAGAGGGGTAGGGTCAGATACGAGTACACTTTTGATTGGTGGTTGGTGAGATCACTAGTAAAGGAAGGTTTGCATTGGTGGCTGATGATTTCACTAGTACAGGTGAGGGAGGGATTTCTTAACCGGGGCTTGATTAAGTGGCTGGAGGGAAATTACCTGTTAGGGTAATAAAAACTTACTGTTTTATTGCAGTAGGGTGACTTAGTTAATAAGGAATTGGGGGCTTATTGCTCTGTTGCCCAGGGTGGTACTATTTGGTTGAGTAACTATGAAAGGAATGAGAAAGGTTGCAGGGTGGGCCCTACTAGGAATGGGGAAGGTTACAAGGTGGGCCCTGCAGGCCAGGGCCCAGGAACAGAACTTAGTGGAAACAACAAAATGGAGCTGATCTGGTCCTCACACAATAAAATACAGAAAACTACTGTTTTTAGTCATTGAGCAACAGTATGGTTCTGTAATATCTCAAGAAGGAAAATGAGCAAGGTGAGCTGTGTTTGCCCTGAGTATAAGGAATTCTCATACATTGCTGATAGTATGTAATATGGTACAGACATTTTGGAAAAAAGTGCATCAGTTCCCTTTAATGTTAAATATTCCATTACTTAAGACCCCCCCCCCCGGAAATTCTACTCCTAAGTATTGGTCCAAGAGGAATGACAATATATGTTTACAGAATACTTGTACCTAATATTCATAGAAGTTTAATTGTTGTAATAGCCTCCAAATTGGAAATCCAAATATCAGCAAATTAATGGGTAAAGTTTTAATAAATTCATACAATGGCATACTGCTCAATACTAAAAAGGAAGAAATTACCTAATTCACATACCATGGATGAATCTCAAAGATACTATCTTGAGTAAAAGAATCCAAATGTCTGGTTCAATTTATATAAAATTTTAGAACAGGCAAAAGTAATCCTTAATAACAGAAAGTTGGATGTTGCTTGGGGTTCTTTGGAGAAGGATAAGTTTGGGGTATTTGACTAAAATATGAGAACTTTCTGAAGTAACAGATGTTTTACAGTTTGTGGTGCTAGTTTTACAGGTATATACATTTGTTAAAACACATTGAGATCTATACTTAAACATGTGCATTTTATTGTAAATTATACATTCATGAGCTTGATTCAACAACTCCCCTGCTGAGTTGGTTCTGTTATGCAGGTATGGTTGAAAACCAGGGCTCTACAGCAACTGAGAGCCATTAAAGGATTTTTAAGTTAGGAGGATCACAGAGGCATCAGTGTGTAGGATGAATCAAAGTTAGGAAACTAGGTTACTACAACAATGAGAGGTAATTAGGACTTAAGCAGTGGCAGTGAGTATAGAGAGAAGCAGTAGTTGGTAGGAATATTAGGGTCAGACCCAGCAGGTGCTAAAGTCTTCAAAGTGGAATGGATGAAAGAAAGAGGAATAAAGAATGGCATCTGGGGATCTGGTTGGGTGATCTGATGAATGGTGCACCTGTAAACTGTGAGTTGAAAGGGAAAAGCAAATTTCAAAGGAAAGAAATAAGTTTGTTATGGACATTATGAAGCCAAAGTTTATGTGGGACACTCAGGAGGTTTGGTGAGAATTTTGGTTGGGAGATAGAGTTGGGTGTTGACTACGTGTCAGTGACAGCAGAGTAGATGCGCCTTCCCAGGGGCAGCGTGAAAAGTGAGAAGATGCAAGGCCCAGGAACACTCAAGACATGAACACCAAAGAACTCAGTGGAAAAAGAAGAGCATTCAAAGTAGACTTTAGGAGTAGTCAGAGAGGTGGGGTGAAGACAAGAGACCAGAAAAAACTAGTGACGAGATGCTTTCAAGGGGAAGACCAGCAATGCCATTTACTACAGATAATCAAGTAAATCATGACTAGAAAGGAGATGCCGTCTTCAAAGTCAGAACTAATTTGAAAGTTAGAGAAGAAAATCATGCTGCAGTGTAGCTGTTCTCAGAGCTAACGCAGAGGAAAGCACTGCAGATGAAATGATTAGCATAAAAGGGAGACTGAGGCTCGCTCCGGCACTCAGCAACTACCTATCTTTATTGATTCTCTTATATACTCTAAAACATCTGATAAAAGTTTAAAATATCAAACACTTAAGAAAGCGAAGATCACGGAAACTGCCATAAAAATTCCAATTCA